ATTAGTCTCTGCATTTAATCCAAATAAGCAACAAAAAGTACTGATTTGTTGTAAAAGTACTGTAGTACAAGGTCGTTTTCACACTTGATAGTCCGGTAGACTCGGTTCGATTGGGGACCAAAATTTGGCACATTTGTTTACATCTTCAGCTGGTGTGGTTCGCATTTATACTTCACTGAGTCCATAGAGCTAACCTGTTCCACCCCTCGCCTGTGGTGGCGCTGCACCAAGAACTACTGAAGGAAATTATACGAAAACCTCTGAAGAAGACACCGAGCACAACTTAATGCTCCAGTATACTCCTCACGCGTCCTGTCAGCCGCGCGGCAACTGTGCGCACTGTCCGCAGAGGGTTGAGACTTCATGCTCGAGCGTCCACCCTGAGCAGCTTTGCAGACACGGGGCGTTTATCTTCGGGACAAATTGAGGTCGCCGATTGGTCATTTGCTGACACGCCTACTGGACTGATTGACAGGTCGAAAAAGAATGAGAGCTGGCAGTCCCAGCTGCAGCGGTGTTCTGTGTATATAGGTTGTTAATAAAAAGTTCTTAAAAACAAAAAGAAACAGGGAGCGATGGCCCTGCAGCCCACACATCAGCTCTGCCCAACAGGAAATCTCCAGACCCTCCTGCAGCCTGATTTTAATTTGCTCGTGACAAATTCCTTCATTTCTCACCATTTCAGTCATGGCATCAACGGAGGAGGAAGAGATCACTTGCCTTTTGGCAAAAAAAAAAAAAAAAAGAAAAGAAAAGGCCAGATCAGGGATGAAAAAGTGGAATTTAATACATTGGTGCTGCATAGAAAACTGTCCATCGCCGGGCAGTTTATTTTGCGACACAGAGTACGTGTACACGGTCGTAAAAATTTAGCTTTGTGCGGACATGCCCTGTGGGCGTCCACTTTGACTCTTAATCCAGTACGCGTGGACCTCCGCGGACTGACATACGCGGACTGACATACGCGGGAGTATACTCGGGGCTTTACTTCTGGAAATAAAAACAAAAATGGAGTGGTGTCAAATTTTAGCGGTTTTAGGATTTCGGTTTTGTCTGTGGCTCATGTGCCAAACAACCACTTTTCAACAATGGACTCGGCATGAGTGAAAGATGAGGCAGAAGCCCATGGAGAATGTTGTTTTTCTCACAAGGCGGCTGAGACGGCTCCGTATGAGGTAGGAGAAATGCAAGTTTGTTTTGGTTGTATTTACACAGAACGCCCTGCGCTGTAGTCCACCTCCTGCTTTTGGAGCAGTCTCAGGTCCGCTTGCATTCACAATGCATTCAAACTGCGCCAGAGTTCACTTAAACCGAACAGAGAGGTTTTTAGGAGGAACAGAGTTTGCTTTTTTGTTCTGTATCAGAGCTCGATTGCGCATTCACACCTCCCCAAATGAACCGGACTTTAGGCAAACAGACTAGAGTTCAATTAAAGCTGATTAAACAGGGCTGGTGTGTAATGCACCCTATAAAACAGTTGAAAAAGGGTTTTATTTTCACACCCAAAGAGTTCTTGGAAAATTAAGGAATGGTTATTGGGACAGTGGGTATATTAGTATAACAATGTTAGATATGCAGCTGCTAGGAAAAAGACAAAGAGGAAATATGTGGATGAAGTTAGAGAGGACACAGAGGTTGTTGAAGTGAAGACAGAGGACAAAGAGGACAGAGTGAGATGGTGGAGAATGAATTGCTGTGGCGACCCCTGAAGAGGTAACAGTCAAAAGAAGTTCTACTTTCAGGACCAGATTCATGGACCTAAACTAAAGCTGCACTGTGGAAAACTGATCATCTTCCTTTACAACAAGAAGGTTCTATTAGAATCTCAGCTTGAGTCTTGCAGGACTGAGCCTGTATGTTCTCACTGGATTTGTGTGGGCTTTCTCCAGGTATTTTAGATTCCTCCCACAGTCCACAAACCCTGCATGTACGGTTATTTAGATAATTTAGTCTGACTTTAGATGTGAGTGAAGGACAGTTGCTCAGTTCATACAGTGCATTTCTGTCACAGAATATGAAGCTGTGTTTGGGTTGTCAAAAATACTGCAGAACTTTTCTTTTAAAGCTGTGCACACAATAATGGGAAAAAAGTTGCTAGAGTCCAACTTATAGTTTTATTTATATTTATATAGTATAAGAAAGACATTCATTGTAACGACTTAAACACTGACAAGAATCCCTCACATCTACCTTGTAACACACATCCTTGTTTATTACATCTTGAACTATTCTGAGAATGACACAGCTCAGCATACAGTCTTCAAATTGCTGCTCACCTCACCTACAGTCCTTGTCATTTTGCCAAGGCTGTAAAATATTAACACGAGCATTAAAAGGGTATTTTGTATCCACACACACAACCATGCAGATCAGCACAGGTTCCAGCTGGGTTCCCTCATTAGCTTCTTCCATCACACACACACGTATGCATATACTCACACAGACCTCTGTACCCCTGCTGAGTCAGAGTGAAAGAGAGGTTTAAATTATTGATATATCTCCCTTTAATGGGATCCCCTGTGTGTCTGTGTGTTTGTCTCAACCTTGCTCAGTCTACGGCTTAATCATGACGCCTACTAAGAGAGTGGTTTGGTCAACAAGCTAAAGTCAGGGATGCATGATTGGGTGGCCTAGATTCCCAGTCTGGGTAGGCTGAAAGCCCAGACAGATTGAGAAAATGAGTGTGGTGAGAGGAATATGAGATTAAAGGATGTCATAAAGAGAATTGGGATTTTAATTCTGTCTGTATGTTGAGTTTCATAATTTGTATAAGTAAGATTCTGACGTTGAAAATACATTATACAGGTAATGCATGAACAGAAAAGGGAATAACTCCTAATATCATGAATGTGTTTCTCACCTTATTTTGACATCAAATTGAGGGTAAGTGTAGCGTCCTAATGATTAGGGTCTACAAGTGCAATTTGGATGATAAAATCATTTTTCAGACGTTGTATTTTTTCAATTGACATCATTTTTACTCAAAAATCATCAAATCTCTGTTTGCCTTTCTGGCTAAACATCCATTTGTCTTATCTGCATCCCAGTGGTGGTTTTCAAGTTTGGGTAGGACACCAAGTGGAACGTGCAAAGCCCATTTTAACACAAAGGTTATGAAGTTTACAGAAGCACAAATTTAAATCTGTACTTTTGTTTAAATCTTTATATAAAGACACCAGTTGACTTTTTTTTTTGTAGCAGCTTTGGTTATCCTCATGTGTGTTTGCTGTAAATGAAAAGTCAACAAATGTCCTAAACTAACAAACTAACAAAACACAGATTTAATTTTTTGTCACATTTTAGTAAACTCATCAACCACTATAGAATTAATATTTACAAGTTATTAATTTTGTTGAGAAATGTAATCAGTAATGAAAAACATTTGTTTCCTAAAATAATAAGTAAAAAAAAAACAAAAAAACTAATGTCTACCATTCCCTAAAAAATGCTGCGTAAAAACTGACTGCTGTACAGCTTTGATTACATTTTCTAAACAAGCTGAAATTTACTTATTACAAGTAAAGAAGCAGAATATTAACTTAAAGCTGGAAAATGTTAGATAAAATTAACAAAACGCTAGCTAAAAGTAAAAACTGCTGGCAAAAATCAGTAAAAGGTTAGTGGTAAAAGTACATAAATATTGTCAAAAGTATCAAAAGGATAGCTAAAAGCTAAAGATGCAAAAAGATAAAAATAAATAATATTAAAAGCAAAATACTACCTAAAAATACCAAAAGGCTAGAAAGAAGGTAAAACTAGCAGAAATAGCTTAGATATTAACAAAAAGCCACCTAAAAGCCAACAAGCAGTAAACTGTCAGCTAAAAGCTAAAAGAAGCTAAACCAACCTAAACGTATCAAAATGTTATTTAGAAACTGAAAGTAGCTAAAGGCTAGTTAAAGATAAAAGTAACATGTAGTGAAAAAGTAAAAGTTGTAAAAAATCGAGCCAGTATGCTGAAACTAAATTCCTTAAGAATATTTTCTTATCAAAATAACTTCTTCTAAGCCACATCACATTTCACATCTCATCTGACTCTATGGAATCAGACACTAAAACATTTTTCACTATGACTGAGTTTTCTTTCATTTCTGAAGGTTTCATTTCTTCTTCTGACAGGGCCATGAAAGCTTACACATGTGTTGAAGGGGTTGGAGAAAAAAAAACAAAAAAGCAAACATTTTTCGTCAGGGTTTTTATTAATACTGCCTAAGAGTCTTAAATATGATCCTGCTCAAACCACACATGACAATTTTTTAGTTTCACATGGATTAAAATAAACTATACTTCACTCTGACAGACAGGACATGATGAGAGAAGGTAAAATAGGACATTCAATGTTTTTACCCAATTACCAGTACTGAGAGGACATCCTTTAACAAAAACGTAACTATTGAACAGCATTACTCATATTTTTGGCATTTCTTGAGTTATCTAAGTTAGATTGGAGTTATATAATCTTTTAGCTTTACATGCCACATTTTCCCAGCCTGATGAGGAAGCATCATGAGCAACTTTGAGGTATCTCTGCACATTCATGAACACACTATATACCTCCTATACAAGTAAAGCTCTACTGTTCCAGCCTGGGAAAAATCATAGATGTATGAGATTTTGCCAAAGTTAAAGTGCACATTGAAGAAGATTACAGAAAAAGCAGCTTCTCTGGTAATACACTGCACCAAAAGTGAATTAAATTAAATGCATTTACATCAGGAACCATTTTCTGATGATGGTGTTTAGTCTTTCATGAATGGATTTGGTGCTAAAATCTTTTTTGTCAAACACATCTGAATTAGTTAGCTTCCATTTCTATGACTTACAAAAAAACAACCTTGGTTTGACTCGTTTGATTGAATTGACGAGAGCACAAGGAAATCCTAAAATGAGACAGAGTTTTTTTTCTATCAAGAAAACAAATAGAAAGTATGTTTTATGTAAATGTATTGCTGAAACATTACAGTTTCCTTAGCAGCTCTTTTGTAAGTGTGTCAGTTTACCTCCACGTAGAGAATAGGGAAGATGCCAATCTTGTCTCCCAGCATGCCTTCTGCCCAGTTCTCATCTACTCGCCTGATTACTGTCAGCACCTCATCCTGGAAAGAGAGGAAATGAGTGAAACTACACATACTGTATCTAGACACACAGACACACTTTACACTGTGGGAACACTGCGTTTCCACAAATAATAGACGGTTCAGTTATTTTTGAATCACAGTATGAAGATGTCTTATCTTATCTGGGTGCTGAATATGAATGGATTCATACACTAAAATGAAATATTTTTAAAACAGTGTACTGGCTCGAGCTACAACAAGGTACTAAAAGCACACTTTGCATACCCAACAGCTTTTTCACTTTGCTAAACTGTGTTCAGTTTATAAGAGGATCTGCGGTGGAAGTGGTCTCCAGCTACAAGCACTTGGGTGTACACCTGAATGACAACCTCAGCTGGGGCAACAACACTTCCAGCCTGATCAAGAAAGCTCATCAGAGACTCTACTTCCTCAGGCGGCTGAGACGAGCTGGTCTGGGAAGCTCAGTTCTCACCTCCTTCTACAGCTGCGCAATGGACAGTATCCTAGCATCATCATGTGGCATGGAGGCTGCACAGCTGCAGCTCTGCAGAGAGTGGTGAAGGCTGCACAGAAGTCTGTTGGAGTCAGCCTCCCCACCATCACAGACATCTACACATCTAGATGCAGGAAGAGGGCCACCTGCATCATGAAGGACCCCACTCACCCAGCACACACACTTTTTGCCCCACTCCCCCCAGGAAGGAGGTTAAGGAGCGTTAAGTGTAGAACCACTAGACTGAGGAACAGCTTCTACCCTGAGGCTGTTAGACTCATGAATATCTAACCAGGATAATCACTGTGAAAAAAATCACATCACGTTGCTGCTGATCTGTTTCATGTTGATGTGTTCATGTGTACTCATCTGCTCACACAGACTTGTGTTTGTGCTGCTGTTCAGCTTAATGTTTTTATGCTACTAGTGCTTAGTGTTTATTTAGTTAATGTTTTTCTTAGTTCATATCTTAGATCTTATTACTGTTTTACTTTTACATTTTATTGTTGGATGTAACTGGGACCCTGTGTACATAACCACATGTACCACATGGGGTGCAAATGATAAATAAAGAATCTTGAATCTTTGAATTCAGAAAATGTCAAATGTTCAGTTGGAACCAAGTAATAGTATATTCGATTAAAAACTACCTCACTTTATAAAGCGTACATTTATGTTAGATTTGTACTGCACAGTCTGGTTACCAGGAATTCTCTAGATGTAAGGACATTTTCGGTTTTCGTAACAGCTAGGGGATACAAGTGAAAATTTAGAAAAGTACCTGTCCTGCACCTGCCACTTTTTGAAAAAAAGAGCCATTTAAAATGTGGAAAATCATCTCAAGTTGGTTTTAAAACTTGGCTCATCCCACACAAAGACTGGCAACTGGATCATATAAGAAAAGTGGGGGTTCAAAACACTTTTAAATTGCCTGTAGATCAAATTATTCTCCAGTATGACTTTACATGCTGTTCTTTTGCATGTTTACATAAATTTGTCTTTAAGAAAATATCTGACCAAATGTTTTACATGTTTTAACAGGATGCACAATATTATCGGCATGTATCGTATCGGCTGATATTAGCGAAAAAGTTAAATATTGGACATCAGCCATTCCATCAAATAATTCACCAATATAAAAGGCACTGTTTTTTTTAATTTTTTTAAATATATTATATATATTATATT